CTCTCTCTCTCACTCTCTCTCTCTCTTTCTCTCTTCAAATATAAGCACTCATTCACACACTCACACAGGGGGCTCTCGTGGCCTAGAGGTTAAGGTGTTGGCCTTTCATTCAAAAGGTCCCGGGTTCGAATCCGGGTAGCGACGGAAAATTTTCTTCTCAAATGTTCTCCTTTCATCACCTTTCCTGCCCTCTACAATGTTAAGTTGTCTGCTTTCGTCTCCACTTAATGCCCCCACCCCTCACCTCCTTTGCCCCCTTCGTCTGGGCTCTTTCTGCCGCCTTTCTACGGCTACTCCTTGGCTCCTTCTTACTTCTGTCTTTCAGCCACACCCCTGATCTTATGGTAGGTAAGATCTACACCTAGCCTTCTCGGACAAGGGCGAAAAATCTCTGATGTCCCGTGTGCAAGTTGCGCACGTTAAAGATCCCTTGGTGGTCCAAAATCGATAAGAGTAGGCTTCGGCCGCCACCCGGGCAAAATTCAAAATTTCCTACCAACAGAAAATGTTTGGTCTGCCCAACAGAAAATGTTTGGTGTGTCCAACATAAATGTTGTGTGTGTCCCGCGCGCTCATATGACCAATAATATGCAGGTGCGAGCGCCGTAAAACACTTACAACAAATGTAAACTTCATTTACTGACCGAGACAAACGCCGTCCTTGTAGAAGGACATGTCACCACGTCGTCTGTCCAGGAGTATCCCCACGATCGTTGGCGTGTGCTCCGGGAAACTCCTGCAGAAGAAGGAGGACATGCCGTTGTGGTGCGTCCTTCCTCTGTGAGACAGTCCCCACCCGTGAATGTCCTCTCCTGAAATGTCATGTCATGTATTCTACAGTTAAACTTGGTTTAACTTTCCATTCAGTGCGAGTGAAAGTCCTCGCCTGAAATAGCATCATACAAAATACAGTTAAAACCTGATTTACCTTTTGTTTTAGTAAGAGTCGCCTGAAATATTATAATAAAAAATACAGTTAAACCTGATTTCCCTTTTGTTTTAGTAAGAGTCGCCTGAAATGTAATGTACAGTTAAACCTGATTTCCCTTTTGCTTTAGTAAGAGTCGCCTAAAATATCATGTATAATACAGTTAAACCTGATTTTTTTTTTCAAAAAGTACGAGTGAAAGTCCTCGCCTGAAATATTGTGCTATAAAATACAGTTAAACATGATTTAACTTTTGTTTTAGTAAGAGCTTTACGGCATTTGCAACACAGTTAGGTCATGTACGTGCGAGTGAAAGTCCTCGCCTGAAATATCACCATACAAAATACAGTTAAACCTGATTTAACTTTTGTTTTAGTAAGAGTTTTACTGCACTTGTGACACAGTTAGGTCATAAAGAGCGAGTGAATGTCATCGCCTGAAATAATATTTTAACCCTGTACATGTAGTTAGAACCTCCAGTTGGAAGGGACAGCGTCATAATACATTCCTATAGCCTACAGTACTGTCTGTAACTGACGACATGGTTCGACATGGTTTTGAACAACGATAAAACTTTTGTGGAATTGTAGTTTTAAAAATAACATTGCTTTTAACGTTTAGATGAGGTAGGCCTATGATAAAAATATTCTGACATGTCTGTATGCATTTAAATTGTGTCTGATTTTAAATATGTAGAGAGCATCGTCAAGCCCTTTTAGTGGATTTTAGGTGGTATTCAAAGTAGTAGTAGTAGTAGTAGTAGTAGTAGTAGTAGTATTAGTAGTAGTAGTAGTAGTAGTAGTAGTAGTAGTAGTAGTAGTAGTAGTAGTA